AGAAGAAGAAGAAGAAGAAGAAGAAGAAGAAGAAGAAGAAGAAGAAGTTTAAAACAAGTGGTTTAGCCAGGCAGTGGTGGTACACACCTTTAATCCCAGCACTCGGGTGGCAGAGGCAGGCAGATCTCTTGAGTTTGAGGACAGCATGGTCTACAAAGCAAGTACCAGGACTACCAAAACTGTTACATAGAGAAACACTGTCTCGAGAAATAAAAACCAAACAAAAAAAAAGGAAACAAGGAAGAAAATGGTTTAATAAAGAGCCATTATTTAAGGGTTTTGTTTAGTAATTTAGTTCTGGAATTCACTCTGTAGATCATGCTGGCCACAACATTACAGAGACCTCTGCCTCCTGAGTGCTGAGGTTGCAGGTCTGTGCCACCCCCACACACTGTTGACCTGAGGCCAAGCTGACCGGTCAGTGCGCTCTGAAGACCTATTGTCTCTACCTCCCAAGTTTTAGGACTATAAACACATGCCACCACCATGTGTGGCTTCTGCATGTATGCTTTGGGGATTAAACTCATATTTCTATGCCTAACTAGGAATTCTCTGACTGAGTTATCTCCCCAGGCTCCAGCCTCCTTTTTTTTTTTTTTTTTTTTTTTGCTTTTCTTTTTTAGTTTTTTTAAGACAGAGTTTCTCTGGAGTAACACCCTTAACTGTCCTGGAACTCACTTTCTAGATCAGGCTAGCCTCAAACTCATGGAGAGCCGCTTGCTTCAGCAGTGCTGGGATTAAAGGTATGTGCCAGCAAGGCCCAGCTTTCTCTATTGTTTTCCAAACAGGGTCAGCAAACCCCAACGATCTGTGTTGTGTCCTTGCACAGCTACGGAATTGACTAAACTGAGGTGTCAAGAGAACGGAAAAAGGACAGACACACAGACATAATGTACAAAAAAGCATGGACAGATTGGGCTCTCTGACAGAGAAGTTGCACCCAGGAACTCTGCATGTTTATTATGTGCAGTTGAAAGTGAGGGTTATTGCATATAGCTGAGCTGGAGGCAGGCTTAGTTCATCTTGGTATGAGCACTCTTTGGGGGAGCCGTCTTCAGTCTGTAAACATAGAGAGGGAGAGAAAGCACATACTGTCAGCATTCGAACTCAGATGAGTCATTCCTCAGAGCTTCTCCCGTGGAGAACCGAGTCACTCCCATGAGTTTGAGGCATTGCTGTCCTTGGCAGGCCCATGTCAACAACACACATCCATCCTACACACCTGTCTTCACCTGCCCAGCAACGGCATTATAAATTAAAAAATTCAAGCTATCATGTTTGCTTTCTTTTCTCTTTTTTTCTTTCTTCTCTTTCTTTCTTTCTTTCTTTCTCTCTTTCTTTCTCTCTCCCTCCCTCCCTCCCTCCCTCCCTCCCTCCCTCTCTCTCTTTCTTTCTTTCTTTCTTTCTTTCTTCTGTTAAGGCAGGGTTTCTCTACAGCCCTGCCAAGGACACAAAAAAGCTCACTACAGGTTTTTTTGATTTTATAAGACATGGTTTCTTTGTGTATATGTAATCCTGGTAACCCTGGCTGTCTTGAAACTCCCTCTGTACACCAGACTGGCCTCAAACTCAGAGATCCACCTGCCTCTCCCTGAGTGCTGGGATTAAAGGCATGTGTTACCACTGTAAGGCTTCAACCCTATGTTTTTTGTTTGTTTGTTTGTTTGTTTTAAAGATAGAGTCTCTACTATGTAGCCCTGGCTGGCCTGGAACTAACAGAGATCTGTCTGCCTCTGCATGAGTACTGAGACTTAAGACTTGGACGCCCATATCCAGCCTTACACATTCTGGAAGTGGGGCATACAGTTAAATATTGAAGCATTTCATGGAAAACCAGTTTCTAGTCTGTCCATAAACGGATGAAGTCATTTATTACTCTCCCGAATGCTGCAGTTTGCTTCATGAAAAATTAGCTGTAGCTTCTATCCCAGTGATGGAGACTGACCTACTTTGCTCTCTGGTGCTGTAATAAAACACTGACTAAGCCAAGGTGAGTGCGCACACCTTAAATCCCAGAACTCAGGAGGCAGCGGCTGGCGGATCTCTGTGAGTTCAAGGCTAGCCTGGTCTACAGAACGAGTTTCCAGGACAGCCAGATCTGTTAGACAGAAAAACACTGTTTTTTGAAAAACAAAACAAAACAGCAATAACAACAACAACAACAACAACAAAAACATTGACAATAGAACAGTTTGGGGAAGAAAGGGTTTATTTCATTTTATAGCTTCTAGGATATCAAGAAGGGAAGTCAGGGCAGGAATCTCATGCTACAGCTGAGGTAGAGGCCACGGAGGAACACCGTTTGCTGCCTTGCTCCTCCTGGCTTGCTCAGCTCTCTTTCTTCTATGACTCAGGATCACCTTCCCAGGGGTGGCACCCTTCACAAGGGACTGGGCCCACCCATAGTGATTTTTAAACAAGAGAATGCCCCCAAAGACTTGCCTAGAGGCTGATCTAAGGGGGAACATTTTTTCAGTGGAGGTTCCCTCTTCCTAGCTGACTCTAGCTTTTATCAAGTGGACAAAACTCTAACCAGCACAGCCACATGTGAACCGATACAGAATTAAGTTCAGTATGGTCACATCTGTCTGTCATCTCAGGGCTTGAGAGGTGGATAAATGAGGATTGTGAGTTCAAGGCCAGCCTAGACTATGTACCAAGACTTTGTCTGAAAACAGGAATAAAAATCCTTTCGAATAGATTTTCTGTCCCCTGATAATAGATTTCTCCACTGATCCAGTAATCCATATCAAGCCAAACTGAAAAAGTATAACAACAGGTTTATGTGCACAAAGTAACTCCTGGGCGGGTTCTTCCGTCCCAGAGATAGAGACTGGAGAAGCCATCTGCCCACACTAAAGCAGAAAGATATTATAGCTTTTAGGTGAGCAGTGATGATGTCTCCACCACACACTGGGTTTGTGCCCCAAGTGCAGTCAAAAGCTGAGAGCTTTAGGTGGGGCTTCGGGCTGTTGTCAGCTTCAAAGAGAAGCTGCCACAGCTGCCAAAAGTTGGAAAATGGGCTTTTCGGTGCCTTCCCTTTGTGCAGAGATTCTCTGAGTGATGGGGTTTGGAGAGACAAGAACGGGGCTTCTCAGACTATGTGGGAGCTAAAGAGCAGGCTCCAACCAAACACTTTCCCCGGGAATCCACACACTACCTCACGTGCTGGTTTGTGTCTAGTTATTCCCGGGAAGTTTCAGATTTTTGTTTGTTTTTGGTTTGTGGAGACAGGATCTCTGAACACAGCTCTGACAGAACAGGAACTCGCTCAGTAGACCAGCCTGGTCTGCACTGAACCACCAGAGATCCTCCTGTCTTCTGAGTGCTTGCATTAAAGTTGTCTGTCACCCCAGAGCCACAGAAAATTTGGTGAATTAAATGAATGTCTGCAATTCCAGTACTCTGGAGGTAGAAAATGGCGCGTCAGGAAGTTCAAGGGCATTTGCAGCTACCTGAAATCTGGTTTAAAAACATTTCCCCTTGCAGGGCAGTGGTGGTGCACAACTTTAATCCCAGCATTTGGGAGACAGAAGTAGGTGAATCTCTGAGTCCAAGACCAGTCTGGTCTCTAGGACAGCAAGGACTACACCGAAAAAAAAAAAAAAAACCCTCTCTTGGGAAAAAAACAAATCAAAACAAAACAAAACCCCCACAAAAAACAACTTTCCCAAATTTAGTAACTAATACATTATTTCCCATCTTACCATGAGTCAAGGGTTGGCAGTGATGTGGCTCAGGCTTCTTCACGAGGTTTGTGAGCTCTTTGTCAGCATGTCAAATACCAAAGAAAACAGTTTGCAAGGAGGAACGGTTTATTTTGGCTCATGGCTTCCGAGGTGTCAGTCTATGGCCATTGGCTCCTCTGTTTCTGGTGTGCTGAGACAGTGTCACAGTGAGGGACAAAGCTGCTTACCTCATGGCAGCCCTGGGAGGGGGAGAAAGAAGGAGCAGAAGACTGGGAACACCAGAGGCCCTTCAGGGGACAGTCTAGCACCGGGGTGTAATGCAGTTGGTTGAGTGTTTGCTTCCTCTGCAGGAAACCCTGGATCAGGAGTTCAAGGTCATCCTCAACAACGTAGTGAGTTCAAGGCCAGCCTGGGATTTGTAAGACCCTGTCTCTAAAAAAAGAGGGGAGAATAAACTTTCCATGACCCACTTCTCCAACAAGTCCCATTTCCTAACCTTCTTTTCAGCCACGAGTCCATCAATGGATTAGCCCGTGATGTAGCTCATGAACCCATCTCTTCTCAATTTTCCAGTTCTGGGTCCTGATGCTCTGAGGATCAAGTCTTTACTATTTGTTTGTGGTACATTTTGTATTCAAACCACAAGGCTTCGGGCAAATTTTGGTGGTCAGAGCCGTCTATGGGACTAGCTGAAGAAAGAAGAGCCAATGCCAATGACAACCAACCAAGCAACCAACCAACAAACAAACAAATACAGCATTCCGAGGGCACAATGGCGGGAGGCCTCACTTGTTTTCCTGTGGGCCTCTACATAAGTTGACCTGACAAAGGCAAGTTAGTTTTCAGTAACATGCCATCTAAGAAAGAGCAAGGGAGAGACAGCCGTATGTCTTGCGACTTGTCCCAGATGGTACCCACTTTTGTAATCCCCTACCTGGTGTCAGGGAGAACCGCATACCAACTTGGAGACAGGTTCCCAATGATTCTAGTGTTTGTTTTTGTTTGTTTGTTTTGAGGCTGGCCCGGAACACTCTGTACAGACCAGGCTGGTTTCAAACTCACAGAGATTCTCCTGAGTTCTTGGATTCAAGGCGTGCGCCACCACACCCACCCCAGATATTTGAATCTTTTGACTGAAATCAGACTTCAGGAAAACCCAGTGGAATAGTTTTATTTACAGCCTGGTCACATGATGCAGGGGAGGGGGGCAGGGGTCGTGTTCCATTGTGTGTTAGCATCTCCGACTTCGTTCGGACCTCAGTTCTGTCATTCTTCCAGAAGCATCCAGGGAGTATTTGCCAATTCAACTTTGCTTGGTTCAGAGAGAACACCTGCCCTCCAGGTGCTCCTATGCCGGTGGGAGCGTACTTCAAGAACAAATATGGCAACGGAGGCGTGAAAGTTTGGAGAAAACGATCCATGTGAGGCAGGGTTAACAAACCATCTTTCATAAAAATATTGTGCTCTTCTCCGGCCGGCCGCTCTCTGGTTGTCTGTGTGTGGCTGGCTACTTTCACAGGGACGGTAGAAATGAGCCGTAGGGCCCTCACGTGGCAGTCTCCTCACAGCCTGCAGGAATGACCCTCTGATTCCTTTTTATAAAATCCCGGCTGCTCTAAGCTTTGCTTCCGAGCACGCAGTGGTGAGTGTGGCGTGTCTGGTGCCTGTGACCCTGGCACAAAAGAGGCTGAGCCTGGAGGAGCTGAAGCTCTGAAGGCCAGTCTGGAGACATAGGAAGACCCTGACTCAAAGCAAAACAATAACGAGCAATTTAATAAAAGCCAAAAATGTTTGACGATGGGACGAGGAGGGCTATCAGTCCCTTTGTGGTAGAGGAAGGAGATTAGAAGTAGCATGAAGGAGGGCCTGACAGTTGGTTTTTGCCACGCAGGCCTGAGAACCTGAACTTAGCGCCTAGAACTGATTCCAAAATTTTGTCCTCGAACTCCCTCCCTCCACAATTTCACATCCACCCCAACGCACACATCATCCACAATGACAATTTTAAAATTAAACCAAAAATAAAAATAAAAATAAGCACCCCGGGCAGTATTTGGAGGTCAAAGGGATACAACTTGTTGAGTCCTAGGGATCCAACCTAGAACTTAAGTCACCAGGCTTAGCAACAGGTGCCTTTTACCCATGAAGCCATTTTTGAGACAGGGCTTCTCTGTGTATCCCTGGCTGTCCTCAAACTCAGAAGTCTGCCTGCCTCAGCCTCCTCTCAATATCTGTACCTCATTATCACTGCCGGAACCGACGTCACTCCGGCTGGTTTATGCAGTAGTGGGGACCAAACGCAGGACTTTCCGCACGTCAGGCAAGCGATCTACCAGCTAAGCTAAAAGTCCAGTCCACGATGTCCAATTGGAAGACCAAGTTTGTTCTCACTGAAGTCTTAACTGCGTTTATCAACTTGGCACTCTTGTTTGTATTCTGCTTGTGTTTTCACATATATTTTATGGCCTAGTATTTGCCCATTTGGCTCTTATTAAGCAACTAAGAAAGATGATCTTCTAGACCTCAATTCTTGTCTGCTTGTTTCTGACATTATATAGCCCAGGTTAGCCCTTATACTCCCGTGCATTCTCTTTCTATTCAGTATTCAACTGCCTGAATACTGGATCGTAGACCTTTGTTACCCTCCCTGGCCCTAGCCTTTTGTTGTTCTTTTCCACTTTAATTGTGTGTGGGGTATGTGTCTACAGTGTATGTGCACGTGTGTGTGGGTGTGTGGTCCAGTGAACACACACACATGCCTTTGAGGTTAGGTCTCCCCTGAACCTGGGGCTTGTGTCTGACTCACCATCAGGCTCAGCAATCCTCCCACCTCTGCAGCCCACAGCATTGGAGCTGCAGGCATGCTTACTACCGGACGGCCCCCGGGTGCTCATGCTTGGGCTACAAAGGCTCTTTCCCTATTGAGCCATCTCTCCAGCCTTGTTCTTTGAGACAAGGTCTAGCTTTAAATCTCAACCTGAGCCAGACGGTGATGGAGCACACCTTACATCCCAGCACTTGGGAGGCAGAAACAGGCGGATCTCTGTGAGTTTGAGGCCAGCCTGGTCTACAGAGCTAGTTCCAGGACAGGCTCCAAACCTACAGAGAAACCCTGTCCCAAAAAACAAACAAAACAAAACAAAAAAGGACAAAACAAAACAAAATCTCCTCCTGACCTGGAATCACTGTGATCCTACATCCTCAGTCTCCCAAGTAGATGGGATCACAGACTTGTGTTGCCGGGTCCAGCAAACAGTAGCCTTTATCACTTAGTCTTTGACCCCAACTGTTCTATCTTATGTTACTCCAACCTCTTTCTCTAGGGAAATTCTAGCCCCTAGGAAGAACCACTTCTATTTTCTCTTCTAAAACAAATTGCTGATTATGGTTCTAGCTAGCTGACATTTATTACCACTGGGTCCATGGTCAAGTTGGTCACTATTACCGTAATACATTCTAAATAGTCTCTGAGATCTAGCAACAATAGTATAAGGAGGTGGCCCATTTTAACAAGAATACAGGTTTTGAGACTAACTGTCTAGATCTGAGAACTAGAAAGAGGGAGGTGGGACTGGGCAATGGTGAAGCACACCTTTAATCTCAGCACTCAGGAGGCAGAGAAAGATGAATCTCTGTGAATTCAAGGCCAGCCTGGTCTACAGAGTGAGTTCCAGGATGGCCAGGGCTACCAGGACTACACAGAGAAAGCATGTCTCAAAACACCCTCCTCAAAACAATCCCAAAGAAAGGAAGAAAGAAAGGAAGGAAGGGAGGGAGGGAGGGAGGTTGGCAGGGAGGGAAAGACAAGCCACTCCCAGTCTGCTATCTTCTTTTTCTGAGGGTAGCCTTCTCTCCCTGGCGGAGCACCACTCTGTCTGCAGTGATCTCTCCAAAGCAGCCTGGACTAGAAACCCTGACACTAAGCTCTGATATTGCACCTGACATGAAATGTCTGAGAAAGGGCAAAACAGCACCATGAAAGGAGCCCAAGTCACTGATTAGCCAGGGATGGACCATAGTTCCTGATTAGCCAGGGATAGACCGAGTTGCCTGATGCACAGGCTACCGCTTTTCAGATTATGTGAGACATGAACGGTGTTTTTTGGGAGTGGGGGTGGGGTGGGGAGAATGTTTGAAACAGAGTTTCTCTGTGTAGCCCTTGCTGGCCTGGAACTCACTCCATAGACCAGGGGTCTTGAACTCACAGAGATCTGCCTGCCTCTGCCTCCTGAGTGCTGGGATTAAACAGCTTTATAAACAGCTTTTTTTAATATTGAAAATAAAATAATAAAAAGGAATTTTAGAGTCAAAATTTGATTTGAGTCTTAGGTATTCTGCTTAATACTTCTGTGAGTTTGGTTAAGTTATGTAATGCCTATTTGTCTGAATTTTTTACAAATCTAAAGTAGGGCCATTATATTCTTTATAGTTCTTGTTTATTGTCAAGGATCTGTGCATGCCTGACCCTGGCATAATGGATAAAGTATCTGTCTATCTGTCTGTTTATCTATCTATCTATCTATCTATCTATCTATCTATCCATCCATCCTCTATCTACCCATCTACTTATTATTCTAGGCTTTCATGCTAAGCATGTGCTTCACCATTTTACCCTACATCTAAATACTAGATTCTGTTTTCTTCTTTTGAGACAGGGCTTCACACATCCCACACTGGCCTCAAACCTGCCATGTTTCTGAGAATGACCCTAAGCTGCAATCATCTTATTGCTGCATCTCAAATGGTCAGGTTTATATATTTTTTTCTTTTAGAATCTTGCTATTTTGTTTTGTTTTGAGACAGGGTCACACAGAGCCCAAGTTGGCCTCTGACTCGTTATGTATGTAGTGAGAGGGGTCTTGAAATCTTAACCCTCCTGCCTCCATCTTCCAAGTGCTGGAAATACAGATATGTACTCATCCCTTGATAACAAAATTTTATCTAACTTCAAAATTCTTTTAAATGGACTTCTTCTCTTGGTGTTGGTCAGTGGTGGCAGCTGTTCCAGTCTTGAGAGGTCAGCGGCGGGGGGGGGGTATCAGGTAGCTAGTGGGGTACAGCATTCATAAACACGCAGTTTGCAAATACAGGAGAATACATAGATGGTGTGCTGTCTAGACATCTGGGTGAAGTTCTAATAAGGTATAATAATGGCCTTCATATCAGAGGCATTGAAGAACAGGAGGAAGATAGAAAAATCTTTGGGGAGATTATATATATATACAATAAAGATTTATTTCTTTTTTCAACTTAAAAAATTATTTTAAATGTATATATACTCTTTGTTACATAAAGGGCCTCCAGACTTATTTCTTCCTAGATACAGCCATGAGACAGTCATGCAGGCCAGTGGTCTTGGTGTGTTGGCCTCTGATGAGAATGTCCCAGAAGTGCTATAGCTTCCGTGAACTGTAATGTTCAGTCACTCCAAGTTTTCACAATGCTTGCTGTCCAGACCCCTGGCTCAGTTTTCCATCCCTTCTATCCTCTGTCTATCTGGGAAGCAGTCTGGGTTCTGATTGTTATGGTTCAGCATAATGGTGACCACACTCTCTCCTCATCTTCAGTGAGCTCTCCAGCCTTCTATGATGTCAGTGTCTGTTTTCCTCAATACCACAGAAGCAAACGCACAGGGGTGGCACGTGCCTTCACACGTGGGTGATTCTCTGAGTTCAAGGCCAGCCTGGTCCACAAGACA